ACAATCGAAGAAGCCAAGAATCTATCTGAGATGAAGTTGGAAGAACTTCAAGCTTCTTTGGAGGCTCATGAAATGAGGCTGCAGCAAAAAAACTCAAAAAGGGAGAAAACAGCTGAACAAGCATTGCAATCAAGATTCAACAAGAAAGCTGAAAAAGAGAAATCGAAGCAGCGTAAGAATCTTACTGGTGATGAGAAGTCAAGCAAGAATACTGATTCGAAAGGAGTGTGCAACAAGTATTATGGGAAGAAAGTTGACACGAAAGGGGTGCAGTGTTACAATTGTCAAGGTTTTGGCCACTATGCTAGAGATTGTCGAAGCAAGAAAGCTGCAAGGTCGAAAGATAGTGATGAAGCTCAATATGCAAGAGCTGGAAGTAGTGATTCTGATGATGTGTTGTTGCTGGTGAACACTCAATCGAACACTGAGAAAAACAACATGTGGTATTTGGATTCAAGATGTAGCAACTACATGACTGGCAATAAAAACTGGTTTACCAAGTTAGATGAGTCAGTCAAAAAGGTGATAAAGTTTGTAGATGACAGGCATATCAAATCAGGTGGTAGAGGAGACATTTCGATTATCAGGAAGGATGGTCGAAATGCTACTATCACTGAAGTTCTGTATGTACCTTCGATGACAAGTAACTTGATAAGTGTAGGTCAATTACTTGCAAAAGGCTTCAATATGAAGTTGGAGAATAATTAGATGAAGGTATATAGGGTTGATGGGAGGCTAATCATGAAAGCACCATTAGCGGAGAACAAAACCTTCAAAGTCGAACTCAACACATCAGATGACAAATGTCTTCAAATGTAGAAGAAGACAAGAATTGGCTATGGCATCACAGGTATGGACATCTAAACTTCAAAAGTTTATGTATGTTCAATCAGAAGAAAATGGTGCTTGGGTTGCCGTATGTGAAGGAACCAAAGCAGATATGTGAAGAATGCTGCAAAGCTAAGCAGGCAAGGAAGGCATTCAAACGTGATTTGCCTATAAGGTCAAGGAAAAAACTGGAGCTGGTTCATTCAAATGTGTGTGGACCTTTCGAAGTAAAATCCAATGGAGGTAACAGGTATTTCCTTACTTTCATTGATGAATTCACCAGACATATGTGGATTTACCTCATTGAAAGGAAGAGTGAGTTATTCACACAGTTCAAGAAGTTCAAGTTGCATGTTGAGAAACAAAGTGGCTGCAAATTGAAAAAGTTAAGAACTGATGGTGGTGGTGAATATACTTCAGCAGAATTTGCCAGATTTTTCAATGAGGAAGGTATAGAGCATGGGATTGTTGCACCCTATACGCCTCAGCATAATGGCATCGCTGAGAGAAAGAATAGAAGTGTACTGAACATGACCAGATGTATGTTGAAAGCTAAGAATATGCCTAAGAGTTTTTGGGCTGAAGCAGCTTCGCCAACAGTATACATTCTAAACAGACGCCCAACGAAGAAGATGGTCGAAAAGACACCACATGAGGCTTGGACAGGGTCGAAGCCAAATGTAAGTCATCTTAGAATTTTTGGGATCAATGTGTTTCAGGCATGTACCTGAACAATTGAGAAAGAAGTTGGATGATCGAAGTGAAGTCATGGTGCTCATAGGTTATCATTCGACTGATGCATACAAATATATTCACCAATCGAAGATAAACTAGTGATCAGTAGAGATGTTCTTGTAGACGAAAGCAAAGGATGAGATTGGAGTCGAAGTGCAGTTCGACAAGAATCAGACACAGTCACAACTGTGTTCGAAGAAGATGAAGCTTCGGCAAGTCAAAATGAACAAGGTGATACTTTGACTGATCGAAATGAAGAACCACCTGTGAAGAACGAAAGAAGATCCACAAGAACAAGAACTGAGTCAACTAGGCTGATTGGATATGAGAGGTTTCCAGATCAAGCAATAGATGCTGATGGTGACTTAATCGAAGAAGCCATGATGATGGCTGAAGCAGAACCAATTGACTTGGGTGAAGCCTTGAACAATTCGAATTAGTGTGAAGCCATGAAAGAAGAACTTAGAGCCATTGATAAGAACAACACTTGGGAACTTGTCGAAAGAACCAACAAGAAACCAATTGATATGAAATGGATCTACAAGGTGAAACGAAGGCCAAATGGTGATATTGCAAAGTACAAGGCAAGACTGGTGGCCAGAGGTTTTCTAAAACAACCAGGTATTGACTTTGATGAAGTGTATGCGCCTGTTGCTAGGATGGAAACAATCAGGATTGTTGTTTCGATAACTACATATAGAGGATGGAAAATGCACCAACTTGATGTGAAGTCAGCATTCTTGAATGGGCCTCTGGAAGAAGAAGTGTATGGCACTAAACCACCAGGCTTCGACGTCAAAGGGAAGAATTTGAAGGTTTACATATTGAGGAAGGCTCTCTATGGCTCGAAGCAAGCTCCTGGAGCTTGGAATAAAAGGATAGATAGCTTCCTAATCGAAGCAGGGTTCACAAAGTGTGCCTCTGAACATGGAGTGTATGTAAATAATGTCGAAAGTGCCAATCAAATCATTTTATGCCTCTATGTTGATGACTTACTCATTACAGGAGCAAATGAAGCTGAGATAATGAAGGTAAAGTCAAAGTTAATGCAGGAATTCGAAATGTCTGATTTAGGGAATCTTTCCTACTTCCTGGGAATGGAATTCAAAGACATAGAAGGAGGAGTTTTCTTGCATCAAACGAAGTATGCTCAAGATATATTGAAGAGGTTCAATATGAGCAACTGTAAGGCAGCTGTTACTCCATTAGAGACTGGAGCAAAGCTGAAGAAGGAATCAAATGATGAGTTTGTAAGTTCGACCCTTTACAAACAAATCATTGGATCATTGAGGTATCTTTGCAACACTAGACCAGATATCTGCCAAAGTGTGGGATTGTTGAGCAGATTTATGGAGAAGCCTCAGGAATGTCATATAATTACAGTAAAGAGGGTGTTGAGATACATCAATGGAACTGTTGATCATGGTGTGCTATTTCCTAAAGGATCGAAGAACAGTACAGAGGTCGAAGTGCATGGATACACTGACTCAGATTTTAGTGGAGATCAAGATGAAAAGAAGAGTGCTACAGAGTACATCTTCATGATCAAAGGAGCTCCAATCTCCTGGAGTTCGAGGAAGCAAAGCATTGTGGCTTTGTCTTCATGCGAAGCAGAATATGTGGCTGCATCATATGCTGCATGCCAAGCAACATGGATCGAAATTCTACTTGGAGTCGAAGATGAAGCTATTTGTTGATAACAAGTCAGCAATAAATCTTGTGAATCATCCAATGTGTCATGGACGAAGTAAGCACATTGAACGAAGGTACCATTTTCTGAGAGACCAAGTAAACAAAGGGAAGCTTGAAATAGAACATTGCAAGACAAAAGTGCAACTAGCTGACATATTCACCAAACCTCTGAAGAAAGTGAGATTCGAAGAGTTAAAGAAAGACATTTGGATGAGAAGTATTGATAACATGAATTAAGGGGGTGTGTTAGTTGGTTTATTCTTGTTAGTTGCTATTTGGGCTTTAGCTTGTATTCGGGCCTGGGCTTGTTTCCTATATAAAGGGTCATTACTTTGTAATCCATATACTGCAGCATCAAAATAACAGTTTCAGTTTTAAAGAGTTAGTTACACTAATTAACTCAACAATCTCTCTCTCTCTCTCTCTCTCTCTCTCTCTCTCTCTCTCTCTCTCTCTCTCTCTCTCTCTCTCTCTCTCTCTCTCTCTCTTCTTCTTCTTCTTCTTCTTCTTCTTCTTGTTTTTCACTATATTCATCTTTCTTGAATCCTTTGTTCCAACAACTCGGGATGCTCATATTTATGATACTTTATGTAGTGATAAAGACACCCCTTTATATAAGGGGATGCATATATTTTAAATAATTGTCGGCTGTGTTAAAGTTGTTTAATATTAAGGCAAAAAATGGGTGGTCGGATAAAAGTTTCACGAAATTACTTGAATTGTTAAAGCAAATGCTACCAGAAGATAAAAAATTGACGGATCGTTGCTATGAGGCCAAGAAGATATTGTGTCCAATGGGTCGGGAGTATATCAAAATATATGCTTGCCCCAATGATTGCATATTATACAGGAAATAGTATGAAGAATTGTATCAATGTCTGAAATATGGTGTGTCGCGTTACAAGCTGAAGGCCAATAATGATGATGACAATGGCTATGACACTATTAATAGGAAGCATCCTTCTGCTAAAGTGTTATGGTACTTGCCAATAATTTAACGATTTAAGAGACTTTTTTCTAATTCAAATGATGCAAAGAATCTTAGATGGCATGCTAATGAAAAGACTCATGATGGAAGCATTCTCCATGCAGCTGATTCGTTGCAATGAAAGAAAATTGATTTGTTGTTTCCGGATTTAGTAAGACAAGTTTTCTATGTTATCGACTCATCAGACATATCATGGAAACGATCAATCATTCTCCAAGGAAAACACATTCCTCTTAATGATGAAAGTCTTGATATTCCGTCCACACCTTTACACAATACAAGTTCCTATCTCTTATGGTGAAGTTGATGGAGATGTTGTCAATGCTATTCCAATCGATCATGAAGAAGGCATTTAGGAAAATTAACAAGTACACAATTTATTCTTTATTTATAATATATTGATGTATATTATAGTTTCCAAGTATTTTTACTATCATCTATAATTATTTGAAATTATAGGTCTTTAAAGTCAAGACACCAAGTGACAAGACACCAAGAGAAAAGAAACCAAAACACCAAGTTTCAAATTATGTGATGTTATGTAATGT